TTGATGTTTTGGATGTTTGGCTCGTGTATTGGAATGTTGTATGGAGTGAATAATGGTTTGAGTAGGATCAGTTTTCTTTATGGCAGGTTGGTGTAAATGGCTTGTATTTCACCAAGCCCTTGCAAGTTGTAACGTGAGGCTAAACACTTCATGAAGGCCTTGGAAAGTATTTTCTCATGGATCTTTGACACAACGGGATTGGGCTTTAGGTGGACTTGTATTGTAATGAAATTTTTATATTCATGACTTTTGTTGTAATTCTTTGTAATGAGTGGACTTTGATTATAAATTGGTCTTTTTCCTTTTTTTGTATGATGGGAATGTAATATATCTTGTATCCTCCATGAGCTTTTATATTTTGCCTATTTTTGTATCAACGTGGGCTTTTTGAATGAAGTATTTATTTTGGTTGCAATTGTTGTAATAAATAAATAATGGGCTTTAATTGGTAAATGGCTTAGAAATCGCTACCTATTCACACCCTCCATCCTTGTTGAACTAATGCATTGTAACCAATTTGTATGATTTTCAAGATCATGACAATTAAACTTAGTCCTTCATGTTGATGTCGTACTCACATTTGAATCCAATTCTCAATCTTCGAATCTTCACTTGAAAATAAAATAACTCGAATTGAACCATTAACAAATGAATGAATCAGAATATTGAATCAAAATGAATCCACCACATGAATTGAAATAAAACTTGAATCATTTCTGGAGAAATCCATAATTCAATCTTGGCATTGAATGGATCAAAAGGAATTTATCTGAACTTTGCCACTTGTATACTCATGAACCAAATTCTCAAAGCCTTGAAATTAGAAGATAATGACTTGAAATATGCACTTCAGTATACACAAAAAAACCCTAATTTTTAAGGATGAACTGAATTCTGATAATTTTCAACCATAAAGCACTTTCCTTGGTACAAATTTGAGAAATTGATCTATCCAGAACATACTTAAATTGACACACAACCCTAATTAGATCCTTAGACACACATCACTTGAACAAATTCTTGTCTGACCAAGATTAAGTTAAACCAGACGAACTTCAATCAATATTGCATACGCAACTGATTTGACAACCCTGCCTGAAACCCAACTCCTCCTTGTAACAACTTGGATAAGAAGAAATGAAAGTCATAACATGTTTTTGTATTTTCTGAATAATGGTTAGTTGGTGGATATACAGATGAAGGCAACAAACAAGTAAGACAAATTTGGAGTATGACAGCCAATGCTCACTAAACATATAACCTTTCAATATGCACTAGAACATTATAATATGACAAATTAAGTTATTTTATAAGAAAAATCTCACGTTCAATGCTAGACAAGAGTTCTTCAACTCCTTATCTGTATTTTGTTCTTTCACAGTTAGAACTTGGTTTAATGATCTTAGTTCTTCAACCTCCCATGCGTTCACCTCTAGTTCATTTTGCAAACTATTATTTACTTTGAAAACAAAATTAGAGGTGGAGAGAGGGGTGTTTGAATACCTACAATTATTAAACCAAGTTATAATTGTCAAAGAACAACATGCAGATAACAATGTGGAAAATTCTTGTCAAGAATTGAACGTGTACTTGTCTTTTAATACAATTTTATTTATCATATTATAATCTTCTAATGAAATTTGGGAAGTTATATATTCGGTAAGGGATTGGAAAAACACTCAAACCATATAATATATAATAAAATCATCTTTTAAATAAACATTAACAACAACATTCATCAACAACAAACCATAAACAACAAACAAGATACAACAAACATATCAACTCCTAGAATGCTTCAGAAACGTACCATACATGTCCCATAGTGGCGTGTACACAATGAAATAAGGATGAAGCTAAATTTAGAGTTGCAAACTTGTGTCCATTTTGAATGGATGTCATTCTGGATCTTTGGCACAAATTTGCAACACTAGCTTTAGGTTCGTCCTCTTTATTGAAACAAGCATCATTACCTATAAGTCAAAACAAAAAGAAAGTTCAAATATTATGAAACAAGCTATTGAAATAGATTTTGAAAAAAAAAACTATAGAGAAATTTTTTTGATATAAAAATGAGTTAGAATAAGAATTTGAACGACACCAATTACCATTAGTGAAAGGGCAAGATGAAAAGTTTGTGAAGAGAATGTATCTTTCTATTTTTGGTTCTAAAAAGTCAAATTCTAAGTCTAACAAAGAATAAGAATTTGAACATCAACAAGTGTGCGGTATTATTCGGCAATATGTGAAAGATAACGTTGATAATCATATTGCTAATGAAACAAATATAAAATTTTGTGGGAGAAGTTAGAGTCCATGCTTGCCTTTAAATCACAGAATAATAGTTGTTTTTTACAGAATAGATTCTGAAATTATGTTCTTGAGGGAACATATGTTGGACATGATGTTGAGACAACTAACTCAACTTCTTAAGGCAGAATGACAACAATAAAAAAAAATAATGCATAAAGCAATAAAAACACAAGAGATTGGTAACTCAGTTCGATGAAACCACACCTATGTGTATTTAGGTCTCCCCTTAAATATGAGAACCCACTCAATTTCTTCAACCACTAACCTCTAGTGATCAACCTCAATAAAAAGTCTATTGATTATTGAATTTACAACTCAACTAAGAGAAACCAACAATTAGGCGATGTTACTGAAATAAAGAGTGTTGTACAACAGTAGATTCAACACTAATCCTTATGAGGGTATTAACATGGAATACAAAAAATAAAAGACTCATAAACCCTAGATACAAAGAACTTAATCTTTCGTAGAAACCCTCAATCAAAACATGAGAATTGAGTCTCCTTATATAGAAATGTCTTCTGGGATTTTTCCTTGTAGATCTCTGATTTAAATTCGTTCAGAATAACATAAAATCTTGTTAGAGTTGATTGCTCCATAAAACTTTCTAAAAGATATGTTTTGTTAAATTCAAATTCAAATCTCCATTTAAATTTGATTTAATATTCAACAACTTTCAAACAAATCAACCACATATTGCTAACAAATCTGCAACAAATTTGATTGAAATCCAATAAGAAAATTCGCATCAAACAACATCCCTTATGGCCTGCTGACAAGGCCAAACGTTGCACTGCACATGCTAGAACATCGTGTTTCACATATTGCACAAGTACATCCAAATTAACTCTTCTCTATAACATGTAAATCTTATTTGTAGAGAGAATATAGGATAGTGTAATTCTGAAACAGACTGCAATATCATCTGTCTGTTTCTAGAGACCATATATTATAACACACATGTTGGAACATTGTGTTCAACATGTATCCTTTTTGCACCTAAGCCAGCTTGAACAAACTCCATTTTATTTTGCTATGCACAATTATAAATTTGTTTTTATTCATTTAGTATTAAATTTTAATTATGTTAAGAATTTCTTTGACAAATATGATTAGTGAATTTATAATATAATAATTTAATTTGAATTATAATTGAAAAAATATGAGTTAACCACAAATAAAAGTGTAGTTTATTTAAAAGGAAATAAGTTGAGGGTGGCATCTAGGATTTAGTGCAAATTTAAGTAGCTCAAAAAATATCATCAGTTAGTACTTATCTTCATTAAGATTTTAAATTTTAAGTTGTTAAAAATATAAAATTTATTTTTAGTCTTAAATAAAATTTAAAGTTTATTTGTAATTATTATGAAATAAAATTTTCGATAACTTTAAAAATTTATGTCTATAATATCAAATTTAAGTTGTATGATAAATAAAGAGTTACAAATGCTAGTTATTATATTAACTTAGTTATATTTTTATAAAAGAATTATGTTAATTTGTTATTAATGGGATTGTAATACTAAATCATTAAACTTTTATTTGATTAAAACTTAAATAATTTTATGGACATTAACTGAAAAGATATATAAACTTTTATATTCTCGTATTTTTATAATTAATAAATTATTTTAAGATAAATATAATTATGAAAATAACATATATTAAATTTAGCAATTAATTATTACATTAATACATATTTAATTTTTGTCAAAATTTGAATTCACCACATTCAACAAAGAATAAATATGTATTTTTCCTTTTTAAAAGGTGATAAAGTTTAAAAGGTATTAAATAAAAATATGAATAATGTAACATAAATGGATTTGAAGTGTTAACTAGAGAATGAATGTATGATTTGATTTAATAGATAATAAATAGATATGTGAAAGAGTTTGAAGTATAAAGGGAAGAATGAATGTGTGAATATAATTAGATATATTTCACTTATCTTAAAATTGTTCATTGCAAGAGTAACAAAGCATTAATGTTAAAATCTTTTACAAGATTTAGAACATTGCAGTATATTTTCTTGATAAATAACTGTGCATGATTTCATGTGACATTCAAGTTTTACAAGATATAGTAATAGTCATTGAGAAAAAAAATCACAAAATCAATCAACCACACCTATAAAGCCATCAATGACAAACCATATAGCAAATTATTACTTATAATCAAAATGTTAAGATATCTTATAACAACATTAACTAGTACACAAGTTAAATGATGATTACCTTTTAGTGATGAAGCAGATAAATTTTCTCCATTGAAAAGGTTACAAAAACTTAAACATGATATAACACCTTTTTAGAAAAAAATTCACATGCTTCATCACTTGAGATAATACTAAACCCTTATTATTTATTTAACTAGTAATCACAGAAAATTAATTAAACTCTTCCACTACTACATAGTTAGTGCTCGGTAATAAATAATTTTCCGATAATTTTATAAGTTATTTAAAAATTAGTGAAATTTTTTTCTTATCGAGCACTAACCTGAGTGATATAATTTCTAATTATTATTGAACGATTTTTTATATAGTATAAAAAACTATGTTAAGTTGACGATGATCATGCATGAATTAAGTTTTAAATTGCGGTCACAACTGCAGACAAAATATAATAGTTAATTTTTAGGTTTTTGCAAGTATATACTAACCGCAATTTAAAACGATGATATGTTTATGCATGAACAACTTCGTCATCATCGGACCCGGTATTGCTGCATTGTTTCTCATCTTCAAACCCTTCAAGAGAAGGATGAGGGGAGTGACCTTTTCCAAAGGATCTAACATGATCTTTAAGAGATCTTTTGTGTTTAAAATCGGAACCGCAAGTGCAATACCAAAACTTTCCGCAGTTTTTCTCATGAGTTCTCCAATCTCCTTTAACAGCAAATGCTTTAGAACATTTTCTACAAATAAATGGTTTTGTTCCATGTTTTCTCTTGTAATGAGTTTGAAGTGTTCGAAAATCCTTCAATGGTTTTGCTCTTGGATGATTGATGTTGTTTTTGCAACCATTAGCACAACAATAACATGGTAACCTTAACATTGCTGCTGGTTGTGTTCCTTTTAGTGAATCTGGTCCTTTCCTATATTCAGATCCATGTCCCCACATATGCATCTGCAAAAGTATCAATTTTTTTACTAGTTTCAATTTATGATACTACTTGCATGGTTTTAAATAGCAGTTGTGATCGCATAATTTTTTTCATAATTCTAATCAATGCAAATGTTGCGACATAGATTGAGGTCGTTATGATCTAAATTACTTTCAAAAACTGTTTTGTCGCGATTGTTTTTTTAGATATTTTTATTGGAAACAAAATATAAAGGTATAATGAAGATATGATCTTTTACCATAATGAGATAAAATTAAAGAGTCTTTTACTAAAAAGTTAGGATATGGCAACAAAAAAATTGATTTTGCTCACATTTTTTAAAGTGAAAAAGAAAGCAAAAAGAAAGAAGAGGGTCATGCATCAAAGATTATTCATTTAATTTAATGATTATTTTCTTCATCTTGGTCCTTCTCATCATAATGTGAAACACTTATAGTTCATGTGGATTTCATAAAGAGTAAATAATTCAAGTTCTAATAAGTGAACTTTGGACGCAGAAATTTGTCATCATCATAGTAGCAAAAGAAAAAAAAAAAAGAGTCAAATAATCAAATTAAATGACAATATATGTTTAAAAAATTCATGCACTCATATGAATAATTATGACCTTATCTAAAATAAATATCAATAATTTTGTTCTTTGCACACACGTTAAATTATGAGTAAAGAAACTCTAATATATTTATATAAAAGAAATTATCGGCAAGACTATTGGATTCGAACTCAGACTTGAATAATTTTTAATAATTAGTTTTATTTTATTTTTTCTGATCGAATTCTGAAATACTAAATTTTTATTTGCTTAGAAATCGGAGAATTAAGACGAAAAAAATTGAATACAAGAAAATGATGAGAAGAAATTTACTAACCTGCATATTGTTGTATCTATTGAAAGTCTTACTACATATGGAGCAAGCAAACTGCATAGGACCAACAAGGATCTGAGCAGGAGTTGGTATCCAAAACCTTTTTTCCTCCTTAAAACAAAAACCTTGTATGTTGTTCTTCATCTCTTGTTCTTCCTTAACATGATCAAAAACCTTATTCTTCTCATCATGATCATCATGCTCACTTCCTATGTTAGGTAACCCTATGTGCAAAGTCACAGTCACTTGTTTAATTCCTTCTTTTACTTCAAAACCTTCCTCTTGCATCTCATGATCTTCTTTTAAGGGCAAAAACTGAAAAGTTTCTTGAGATAATTTGTGTTGATGAGTTAAGGAAGATGAAGGAGATGATGAGAGTGATGAAGATGGTTTGAGATATTCAATGAAAGTTGGGGTTTGAAGGTATAGATTTTTGTCTTGTACAATATTGTATTGATCTCTCAAACCCATCTTGATTTTAGAGAGAGAAATAAAGTCCCTAGATTTGTGAAGCTATTCAATTATTCTCTTCTTAGATATAGGTTTATATTCACACTTTATGTAAGAAAGCTTGCACATATATATGTATAATGAAATGAGAATTTTTTTTAAAATTATTTTATTATGTAAAGTATCTATCAACAATACGTAGATTATATTGATTTGTACAAAAAAAAATCTGACTACTTTTATTAAAGTCTTTTGTGACCTCACACTTTTTTCATTTTAGATTTTGTTTATGAAATTTGAGTGCAAACAAATATTTTTAGAGATAAAATATGAAATTTATTTTTAAATCTGTCACTAAGTTTAATATATAACGAAAAATATCTTATATAAAATTTCATTTTTTACTAATTACACTGCTTATTTTATTATTTATTGTAATATTTAGCCAGGCTCGTTTATTTCAATTTTTTTTAAATAACTTTTTTATAGTATCATATATTTTTGTTTTTTTTTAATTTATAAAGAATAAAATAAAATAAAATAAAATGAAAAAATAGTTTAAATAGTTTTTTCTAATTTTATTTAAATATCTTATTTTTAAAATATTAATATTTTAAAATTTTCTTAAATTTGAAAATATTTTGAATAATTTTTTTTATAAAAATCATTTTTAAGATAATGTTTTTTGAAAAAAAAATGATTTCAAATATGTTTTAATAAGTTTATGTTACTGAATATCAAAATTAATTTTTTTAATTTATAAAAAATAAATTCAAAATATTTCAAAAAATGTTCTAATGAAAAATAATTTAAAAAGTATAAAGAAAAAATCTATTTTATTAAAGTTAAACCAAACGGCATTTAAATATTAAGTGATTTTTTTTTTTGGATATTTTCTTTCTTTTATAAAAAAACAAAGTAATGAAGCTTTTCTTTTTCTTTATTATAAAACTTTCTTCCTTTTTGTTTAGCCTTTATTTATTTTTCTTTTTGTTGCTGTTGGCTTTTGTTTGTTTCCTTTGGATGAGAGAAAAAGAGACACTAATTGGTGGGTATAGAAAATGACATGAAAAAATAAGAATCACCAATTCAATAGAAAGAATCCTAGAAAAGTATGAACCATAATTGAAACTACTAGTACTTGGTAGAATGTGAAGTGAATGAGGTTGTTCCATTTTCAATTCTCATTCTACCATATAATGGAATTTGACCCACACACATCACACATTTTCTCACGCATTGACCTTAAGCATGATCTTAGATTATAATACATATGAAAGCATAGACACAACGGTCAATACCTAAACGAAGAAAATATAAAGTAATAAGGACCTAGACAGAATGTTATCTAATGTTATTATGCGATTTGTTGCTTATTAACTTCCTTAAATGAATTATTAAGACAAGACGTGTGGCACTCAATTGTTTACTTTTTTATTTTATTTTTAATAATTTGTTTTGAGGTTGTTGCTCATTTTCAATGTTTGTATAGTGATTTGGCTATATATTTAAGTTGTTATTCTTTAGCCACAAATAATTTTATGAATGAAAGAAGTCTATTGCTCTCGGTTGGTTGAAGTTTTATTAACTACGGCTCTATTTGATAAAAGTAATTGATAATCGGTAGTTGATGATTGATAGATATTAATTGATAATTGATGATCGATAGTTTTTAATTAATAGTTAATATTTAATAAATTAATTTAAATATTTGATTTTTTTTTGTATATAGGGAGGGTCGAAGGCCCGAACAAGGAGGGACTAGGCTACACGCCTAACAGATACAATAGACCAATCTAAATTAAAGACATTCCTTAAATCTAACGGATAAGATTCAAACCAGACATAATCTACATTACTATTTAGAGGCAATTTAGCTAACTAGTCGGCACACTTATTAGCTTCTCTAAAATACATACTTGAAATGTAATTCTTTAAACATGTGCAGGCGCTGGAGAATATGACTAGATAAATTAGCTCATTGATGTTGATCAGAAAGCGACTTGTTAAGAAGAGCTAAAACTACAATGGAGTTATCAATTTGAACCAATAGCTTCTTAAGACCTCTCTTTCAAGCAAGATCTAAATTTGTAAGCACACTCCAAAATTCAACTAGAGTACTATTACAAATTCCAATGTGTTTGTGAAATCCTCCAAGCCAATTTTCTTGGCTGTCATGAAAAATGCCTCCACACTTGGAAATGGAACCACTATGAATAGCTCCATCGGAGTTGAGGCAAATCCAACCCAACGGAAAAAGGACACCAAAAGGTAATCTTCTGGACCATAGAAAGGGGTTACAACTTAATGGAAAAGCCTTTGCTGGAGTGATAGAGCGAAGCATCCTCGCGCACTTCATACACTAGATTAGTAGGAAAAACATACTATGAATCATGAAGAATTTTATTCCTCTAATACCATAAACGATGACAACTAAAGGCCCACAGAGCAGGCCAATTATCCACCGCCCCAGGAAGACATTGAGAGATATTACAATCAACCCAGTCAGGCAGTAAATAAGAAAATAAATGATCCTTAAAGTTATAACTGACCACATGATTCTAAAAGGCTTTTAGTAAGAGAGCAATCTCGAAGAGAGTGAATAATAGATTCAGGAAGAGAACCGCAAATATCACAAAGGTTATTCCGCAGCTATAGATGATTAAGATAAACATTTGTGATAAGGCCCTTATGTCTCATTTTCCAGATGAAGATTCGAACCCGTTCAAAAACTTGTAATTTCTAGATTGTACTCCACCTGACATGGACTTCACCAACCAAGTTGTGATAAAGAATGACATACATATTGGAAATGGAAAACCTTCTTGTCTTGGAGCCACTCCAAAGGCACAAGTCCGACACCGAAGCAAACACAGTAGAAGGGGGGGGGGGGGGGAATAACATTGATTATGTCTAAGATTTGTTGAGAGAAGAGAGTGTGAAGTAAGGGTCGGTTCCAATCACATGTACTATTCAGAAGGTAAAAAAAACAATATGAAGTTGCAAATTGAGATTGATCGGTTGACGGACATGATCTTTAATATGCCAAAAGTAACATAACTATTATATTAGGGCTTTAACTCTTCAAGATATTTCTTTTTTCCAATCATGTGCCTTAAATATCCACTATCAAAATATCAATCTTCTCTTGAGGAAATTCTAAGAGATGTATAAGCTATAAGACAAGTGACAGTTTCTTTGGGTTTCCACTCCTTCATTTCTTAAGTTTTATTCCCTTTCTTTCTATTGAACCTTGGCTGACTATAAGACTGAATATATCCATACAACCTATAGATAAATGGTCTTATATGACCATATTTTCCATAGTGGTGACATCTCCAAGATAGTTTCTCGCTGCCTCTGTTATGAGGATACACATGTTAAACATGATACTGAGACATGTTGTCTAACATTTGAAACTCAGTCTTCTTCTTAGGGGAATTAAACTTCTTAGTGAGGACTTTGATTTTCTTAGACTTCATATTCATAATCAACTTCAAAGATTTCATCTAACATGTGAGAACCATTGTTCACATACATCCATATTTTGTCATGTTTTCAAGCTTGGAATTTAACAATGTGACTTCCTTTTTCATACCTGGAATGGTTGAGCCAAGTTTCTCTTTATCCGGAAGAAGAGTAATGATAGTTTTCTTTATTTCTCTACTACAATGCATGCTTCCTTCTAATGAGTGAGAAACAATTTGTATGTTTCATCCAACTCTTCATTAGTCATTTCTCCATCATTAGAATCATTACCAGAATCATATTTTCTACTAAAAGCCACCATTTTGTTAGTTGTTTCTCCTCCACTTTCATCATTAGAATCAGACCAAGTGATTGACAATCCCTTTTTCTATTTCTTTAGAAAGTAGGACATTCGAATTTAATATGACAAAACCCTTCACATTCATAGCATTTTGCTCCTTTACCTTCATTAGGTGTGTTTTCATCTCTAATCCTCACCTATTATCTAAGCATTTTCAATCCTTCAATTTATAACAAGAAAAAAACTAATTCTCATAGCCATTCAAATCAAAGGATTATGTAAACTAGCATACTTTCATCAAGAGATTATAAAGGAAATACAACATCATGTACGAGGTAATATATTGAAGTATATGATTGTGATAAAAACCTAAGGGGGAGGAAACCCACCTGAGATTTATAAGAGAATTGATGATGACGAATACTCATTCTTTCCTCTCTTTATGAAAACTCCATTTTCCATAATTACCAGATGAAAGAGATGATTAGTCTTGAACATAGAAGGCTTGATAAATTTATTTCTATTATTAAATCTACTCCATAATCAAGTTTAAATTTTCTAACGATCATCAAATTATTCTCCTCTAAGATGACTTGATCACGCCACTAGAGTTTCTCTTATATGTTGATGATAATTTAATTTAAGAATGATTAAAAGAAAAGGGATTACAACCACCTTATTTACTTAATTTTTATCTCTTACTAGTGAGGAAGATTTGGGGAAGAACATGAGAATAGCTTCTAACTAAGCTTCTCTATTTATAAAGTGGAATTGTTATTTTTTCGCTTCACTAAAGCATGTGAAATCTTCTAATCGCCTTACCTCAATTAAATCCTATATTAGTCTTTTTTTTCACAAATCATTAGTCTTAAACTTTATCATTTACTTGGATATTCATTAGACTTAGGATTCTATGTCAATCCTTGTAAAATGACAAACTTTACCATTCATGATAAAATGACAATTTTACCTTTGACCTCTGAACTCCTTTAATTTGCAAATGAATGCATTTTTAAACCAACATTTTTGGATGGGATATCTTTGAAAAAATAGACTATTCTTAACCGTGTAATAATATTATAATTCATCAATTCAATTAAAATTTTCATTTTCTCTTTGTATAAGCATATCATTCATCATCAGCAATGGGGCTATGTTTAATAAATTGTTTGAAGTCATCCTACCTTTTGAGACGATTAGTCTTTAAACAAGAGTTAGATTATGACGTGACTTGTTTAACATGTGTCTTAGA